CGAGCCCGGCGCGGTGGGCGTTAGTCAGGTGAGGGTTTGTTTCTGATGGGTGCGAATGTGTGTGGAAATATGCGGTGGAGTTGTCCCGTAGCGCGGAGGGAAATGAAAAAGTATTTTGTTTGGAGAACCTCTGGCAAACCGCATGTCATTTGTCATATCTGATTTATTACCCGCAGGATCGCATTACAGGGGAATTTCAAATCCTGTAACGACATCCAAGATCACATACTTTAAAAGGAAATATGTGGAAGAAGAGGATTTTCATCCACCACTCAACAGCTGTACACATAAAGTATGTTTTCTAATAGTCGTTATTTTTACTCTGAGTTTCAGATGCTTAGTACCACTCGATTGACCTATTTCCAGAAGGCTGAAATAGTCTGATGAAATTAGGAGGATGATCCAGCTGTTTGCTCAGAAACAAATAGTTGTCACTTGTTCACATTTATTGTCTTATTGTCATCAAATTGCTTAAGAAGCAAAGGCATTTTTTCATTTATAACAACTAAATGGAAATGCTGAGAATATTTTTTTTTTCAGATTATTTTGTTCTTGGATCGTTTACATCATGCTCACACAAACAGCTCCCTAACAGCGTTTAAAGAGCAGAAAGGAAAACCATAAATAAAGAGGGCCCATGATTCCCCACTTCATTCAAAACTTTTTCCAGGGAAGAAAATTGTAATAGGTTCCATATACCCCAAATAGGTTACAGATCCTCTAGAAAAACAGAACGATTTGGAAAGCGAGTACAAGTTCCTTCAGTGGTTAATCCTGTTTATTAAAAAGCTAATAACTCCACAAGAACAGATTAGTAAATGAAAGAGTATTTTTTTTATCAAAGCTGTCAAAGGAAGGATTAGAGCAAATGTTTCCCAGGCCAGTGAATGCATGAATTGAAATCTAACTTTGAGAGATTTTATGCTCTTGTTCATTAAGAGCTCAGTCCTGTAGGGAACTGAACACGTGGAGTGATGTGCTTAAGGACAGCTGGTGCTTTGAGACCCAGGCCATACCTGGCCCATGGCATGCCGTGCTACCCAGGTGCGGTTGGCGATAGAGAGGACACGATATAATCTGATTAAAGCGCAGTTTAGGGGAGGTGGTAGGACCAGATGAGCCCCAGGGACAGAAAGCTAAAACAGATCAAGATGAGGAGCAAGTTTATACGTTATCTTTACGTGGGTTGCAGAGGCAGCCTTCTGAGATGGGAGGAGAAGTGAGTGCCTCGTCCCTGCCCCGTGGGACCCTGTGTCCCTGGAGGGATTTCCACAGAGGAGAAGCAAGCAGTAATGCTGAGCTCGCTTCCCAAGGGCCTTAGAGCAGCTGAAGGAATTTTCAGCTACAAATAGTGTTGGTTGGAAATAAGTAGCTGACTGGGAAGGTGAAAAACTGGCCCGCCGTTAATTCCAGAAGGTGTCCGGGCTGCTGCCAGAGCAATAAATAAATAGCACCGAGGGTGTTGAAAAATGTGCTCTGGTTAGTGAGCGTGTCTCCCACATGTCACATCACTCTCATTTCAGCCAGTTTTTTTCTTGGCAAGATAGTTGGATTTTTTGTATCAGTGGTTATTTTCCTCACAAAGAGGAGGAATAGTTACTTATCCCTTTCTCATGCCATAAAAACCAGTTGTAGAGGTATTGGTAGGATAGACCTGTCCCAGGCATCGTTTTGTGCTCTTGTAAAGGTGTATCATGTCAGAAACCCTGGGTCACCAGTTTCTTCTGTTCAGCACAAATGTGTTTTCTACTTTGCAACACTGAGCTCTGGGGAAGGGAAGATGCCCACCAGATTTTTTTGAATTCCTTAACCTCTGCTGAGCAGCAACAAAAGAGTTCAGTTCTGAGACCCCTTGTCCTGTGGAGGGTGTGACAGTAGGGCCCAGAGCCCCTCTCCAGAGGGTTGTTGGGAAACATTTGTAGTAGAAAGCCTTTGACAACTTGTTCCTACTGGTGGCCCTCCAGGATGTAGCTCCCAGAGGATCACAGTTCCAGGCTTACTGGGTTGCTCCAGGCTTTTCTGCCTTCACTAACTATTGCTGCAGCAGGTATAAAGGATGCAAATTAACCTATGGGCTTAATGTGATCTAAAATGAGTCATTTATTATCGAAAATTACTCTCTCTAACAAAGAAGAGCTTCAGCTGTGAACTGGCATGAAAACACGGCCAATTTTAGTTTTTACGAGGCGCTGTGCTGCTTCTAAGCTCTGCAGACAGGACCAGGCTGTGGAAAGAGCTAGAGGGCTGAGGAGAGCTGAATGGATGTGAAAAGCAGCTGTGCTTTAAGCTCTTTCAGTCCTCATAGCTACGACTTCCCCTCTGCAAAAATGCTGTAACCATGTGGGAAAGGGAAGAAAGATCAAGCCACAGATGGGGGGGATTTAGAGCAGTCTCGCTTTGCGCTGTGCTGCTCTCCTCCTACACAACCCAAATTCTTACTAAAAATGACAATTAGTTAGTAGTGCTTACAGTAGCCTGCGTTGCCCCCTCTCTTGTTTTGATTCCCAGGGTAGCGATTACAGCGCAGAATCCGGGGCCTCCCGAGGGCAGTAACCTGCTCTTGCTGCCAGGGCTGAGAAAGGGAGTCCTGGAAGGACCATGGAAAGGAGAACAAATCTGTGGGCGCCGCACCAGGATTTCTGCAAATCCCTATCCTCTCTTCGTTTCCTGACCTTGTCCCTGCCTCTCTGTGTTCCCACCGGTCCCGCAGAGCGCAGGGTGTAGGACGCAGGCCAACAGCTGCTCTCCAGATGCTGGGATGCTTTGAGATGGGTTTTTCCCTGCCTCCCTCCCTCCCTGCCTGCCCTGTTGTAGGCAGGAGCAGCGTAAGGGAGCTTGGCAAATGGAGACCTCCTTGCTGGAGGGCCTCTTCCACTGGCAGTGGATGAAATGCTCCGGCACTTGCTGTGTGAGGCGATGGCTGCTGGCTGCGTCTCGCAAACCTGGAGGCTGCAGGAGGGGACCTTTGCTGGGCTTCAGAGTTTTGTAGAAGCCCCACAGGGGGTGATGGAATTGGGTCCATTTCCATCAAAAAGTCCCCAGATGTCACTGGGGCAAAAACACATAACAACTTCATGTTCTACCTCCAAATGCAAATAAAGAGCCAGAGATGTGCATCTGGATTTCGCTCTCCCTTCCTGGATGCGTGCCCTGCGATTGCCTTTGTGGTGTCACGCTCAGCTCCTCACCTCCTAAGCCTGGGGAAATGCTGTGGCCAAGAAAATGCTGGTCCGCAGCTACATGGGTGTGCAAAATTAAAAGCCACTTTTAGGTCCCTCAGAAAGAGAATGAGAAAAGTAGTGGTGCAGGGCAAATACTTTGCTTCATTTACTTTCTGCTTGTCTGGAACAAAACCAGTTGTCTTCAATTCCATATCTTTTGTCTTTTGCATTTGCAGACAATCTCCGTGTTTGAGGAGCGGGCCCATATTCTTTACATGTCTTTGGAAAAGCTGAAATTCATTGATGATCCTGAAGTCTACCTGCGGAGATCTGTCCTCATCAACAACCTCATGAAGAGAATCCACGGAGAAATCATCATGCAGAACAACTGGTGTTTCTCCACCTGCTCCTTCAGTGGCACCTCGCCACAAGAGTGGTTTGTGCCTCAGGACTGTCCGTACAGAAAACGCCTTCGGGTGGCCAAGGAGGAGTACGAGAAGCTCCACACGTGCTGCTTCTATCAAGAGTGTGGCAGTCGCTATTTAAATCTACCCTACTCTGTTAATGCTAGTACAGAAAATACTTCCTCCTCTCCCTCCTCCTCCCCTCCCATTTCTTTGCCAAGCTGTTCCCAGCAGGTGGATTATGACATTTGCAGTTCCCCTTCTTACAGGAGTGATGACCAGATACCTGCTAATGAAATATTCATCACTAATGCCAGGTCTCAGAGTCATCAGGAAAAGGCAAAATTTAATGAAGAGAAAGGAGGTGATGAACCTGAGCAAGAGAGCATTGCCCTGAACTGTGAACCCGTCAGAGGCACCCATGCTCTTGAATGTAAAGGCAAATTTTATGACTATTTTGAGACTGGATGTAAAGACAAGAGCAATTTAAGTGAATCTTGGAAAAAATCCTTAAGGAAAAAGGAATCTTTACCAAGTAATAAAATATGCTGCAGCAAAGGAAGTAAAATATGAGACACCTTTCTTGCTGTGTTGAAGCATGCGCAGCATGTTTGTTTGTCTATCAAATTTTTATTTTGAATGGATTTTTTATAGTTTTCTACAAATGATACAATCATGCCACAAACCTTACATGTAGTTTTAAATGACTGGAGAGCAGATTGCTTAAAGCGTCTCTACGATCTGCATCAGCGGGCTATTTATAAATACGGAGACTTCATAAAGAGCGCAATTGCGTTACTGCTTAGCACTATAGTCTGTACAGCTATGGTGTAGCTTTCGTTACTGAAAATATCAATCAGCCAGATGGGGAAAACATATCGTTTTTATATATCCCTGCCCCCAAGAAGTCTGCCATTAATTAAGAAGAACCTCCATTATGTTTACCAAGAAATGAGAAATCTGGTAAACAAATTGATGCTACCAGCAAGGGCGATGTGCTCCTTGTAACTCAGTATTTGTTCTGACAAAGGACCATCTTCATGGACTGGGAATAAACCATCCTTACGCTTTGTACTGATCCTCTTGAATTCCTGGATTCAGCGTCTCGTTCAACTGACAAAATAGGACGTAGCATAAAGAAGTAACCTGTTTATGGGATCTTAATCAGAAACACAACATGCAGCTCAAGTACTTGCATGTGTTCACCTCAGCTGTAATAACTAATAAGGCTTGTTGTTACACAGGGAAGGTTTTTTTTTTTGGTGCCTTACTTTTTGTCTTAATTTTTGCCAGCGTGAAAATTAAGTGTAAATCAGTGATACAGCAGGGATTTCACCTAAACAGAGGGAAAAAAAAAACCAAACCCGCAGGGTGGATCAATATTATTAGAAACCTTTAACCTTTAAAGTACTGAGTTCAACTTCCTATTCAAACATCTCTGTTCTTCCTTTTTGATGCTCAATTGCTTTTTGATTTGCCATCCTTAGGAAGGGATTTAAGAAACAATAGAGAGATGTCTCTTGTAAACAAGCATTCGATGCTTGAGTGTTTCTATGGCAACTGTCTGTTGCTGGGGCTCTTTTTTTCCTTCTTCGTATAATGAAGTTCATGAACCAGTGGCATGTTTTATACTTTATTCTGTTTCGCATAATATCTCTCTTTTAGATTGCAAAAGCATGCGGGAGTTTTCTATGCCTTTTGCCGTTGATTTAAAAAATACAAGAAAAGAAAGCAAAAAGCACAATGTTAATCAATAACGTGACGATAAACACAATTTTATCTGAATGAATGTAAGGGGTTTAATTTTTAAAAATAACATTTTGGAGAAATGAGCTGGGATTTCAGTGTCTGAGACCAACATTTAGTCATCCCTAGATAGACTGTTTGCAAAAGCGTGCTGTTTAAAATGCCCAGAAGACATTAGTTGGGGTTGGACCGAGAGTATTGTGAGTCTTAGACCCACCAAATTAATTAGCTCCCGCAGTCCCCATAACAACTGGCAGGATGTGCTTGGCAAAATAGCCACATCCAAGCCACGGCTGGCTCATAACAGCTGCCTGTTCCACAGCATCACACATTCAAGCGACATCTTCTCCGCTTGGTTCTTGTCCAAAGAGTGAAATTCACCTCGGTGCTGGCAGAGTAGCTGGCTCAGCGCAGGGCATGAGGGTCCCTGGGGGACACTGCCCCAGGCTGTCGCCAGCTTGGCACTGGGCTTAGCCAGGACTCTGGGTCAGAGACCTCCTGCTCTGGGTTTCACAGGTTCAGCCTGAGTCCTCCTGGAGCATGGTTATTTTGGGGGAGGGTGCACACCCCACAGTTACCTTTGCAAACTGGGCAGGCTTCATGGCTAAGCCCAGTGGTGTCAGGAAGAAGCTTCTTCACCCCCACCCCAGGCAAAGTGACCACAGAGAGAATTTCCAGGACATAAATCAATAATAACCTTTATGCAGTCAGGTGAGTTGGAACTGACAAGACTGTAAGGGTTATCACTGTGAAGAATGACAAATAAAGAAAGTATAAATCCCACCTGATTTCTCCAAGACAGAAGCTTTTTTATTAATAATAATAATATTAAATATAGATCTCATTCATACAGTGTATGAGTAGGATCAGCATTTAGGCATTTGTCCACAAGGACCAATTTTTTAAAAAAATGATTTTTCTTGTGTTATACCCAGATAGTCTAGTAATGTCTGCTCTTTTCCAATATTTGATAAACACTTGATGTTTTAAGCTTAAATATTAGATGCTTGTATACTAATGTGTTGTTGTAGTAAAGTGACATTTCCTTGATATATATTTATTAAAATGACCAAAATTCATTTTAGTTTTACATCTCCGGTGGCTGCTGGGTCCTTCCCCCTATGTTTCCCTCCCTCACTCATGGCAATGACATTTAATCACACTGCTCCCTGCTGAAGGGGTGAGGCTGCAGCTGACTGTGCACCTCGAGTTGAGTGCAGGACAGAGCTCAGCCTTCTTGGGGTTTCAGGAGCCTTTAGGACAGTCTGAAGGTGCACTGAAAAGCAACAGCCTTCTCTGTGGATTTGCACGTACAGCCAAGGAGAACGCCTGGCCAAATGCTGCCCAAGCCACAAACCAGCTAATGCTTTCGGGGGGGCTGAAAGCTTTTTGACCCCACGGGGCTCCTTGGTTTTCAAGAGCAAGCCCATACATATAACCCATTGCAGAGTCTTCCGAGTTGAATTTGCACTAACTGAAGTGGGGAATCAGCCTCTAGAAGTGTCTTCAGTTCCAGGAACACCTAGAAATTAACACATTACAGCTCTGGACAGTCTTACTGAGTCTCATCAGGGTCTGTAAGGGATGAGATGGCACCTAATGAAGGTTGTCCTAAGAAAAAGTGGTCTTTTCTGCCTTTCTCTGGACTCTGCCTCACAAAATAATAGCAAATACTGAAAGTAGATGTTTTAGACTCGAGAGTCCACTGAGTTATCCTGTTTGCCTCAGAAGAGACAGAGGTATTTCATGTTATGAACAGGAGTTGGAAACACCGTTGTCCAATTGCCAGAAATGCAATAGGCCTTGATAGGATTTCCAACCTGGGCTAGGCTGAATGGATTTAGTGGTTTAAATGTGGGTTGATTTATGGCATGTGAAGAGTGTAAACCTGACAGGCCTTTTCCCCATTGCACACTCCAGTACTAAGGACATTTTGCTAGTATCACAAATTTTCAAGAAATAGTTTTTTTCCGAGATTATACTAATGCCTTTCATCCGTTACAGCCCATGCATAACTGCTAAATGAATGCTCCTGAACTTGATCCTGGGCTACCTGCCTGGAAGAACTGGACAGAAGAGCTTCTCTCTAGGGAGACTGTTTTATTTTTATAAGATACTTTGCTCCTAGAGTGTAAGACTATAAAGTATTGTGCCTTTCAGCCGGCTAATCCCTGCTTATAATGGTACTTCAACAATACATGGAAAACAGCAACAGGAAAAGATGTTGTCGGGTCTATTTTACTGTCACCAAGAGCAGAAGGGTCATTTTATCTTCAAGATCGCTTTCCACTAGGTAATACCTTTCCCTTAGAAATGCATAGTTCATCCTTTTTCAAAACACGCAGCATAATAACACTGTGCTCCGTATATATTACATACTTTTGGTAAAATTTTACTATTTTTACTGGATTAGCTAAACTTTTGAAACAGCTTAACACGGTTACTTAAGCATCCTCAGCACTCAAATAGCCTCAGCCGGCGCTGATTTGCAATGCCAGCGTAGCAGCTGGCTCCACAGAGAAAACAAACGCAGGCTCTGCCGCAGAAATGAAACGCCGCTTTCAGTCCTGAAGGTGTTACACCCCAAAGCAAAGTTGCGGTAAAGAGATGTTTTTCGCATTTCATCCTCCTGTGCGCCCTCCATCCTCCTTTTATGTCTCTCCTTTTGCTGAGGACCGCGACATGCTGGGTACCACCCCCCTTTGGGTTTGTGCAGGGGGAGCAGGGAGCTGGTTCAGAGGTGCAGCGTGATCTAAAGGGGAACTTAAACAAACTAACCAGGGTGCAGCGTGTCTCGCTGCTTTGTGGCCCCTCTGGAGGCCCATGCCAGCGGTGATCCACCCAGCTAAATGGCCTTTCCAGCTGCCGGTAGCTCAGATTGCCTCTGTCATAGCAATCTGGTGATTAAAGGGCTATGGCCGAAGTAGAGACGTGAAGGTGATTTTTAGTCTGCATTCTACTCGTGCCCTTTCATTGCCTTCTTGAGATAAAGGCTATAGCCAGCGGTTTAGCAAATGCAGTTGCTGCTTATTCATGCCAGGAACCTTGATAAGAAGTTTCTTAAGTTTTATCGCAAAAAAAAAGAGCCAGGCAGTCACATCAGAGAAAGGTTTAAATTGCTGTGGGGTAAAGGATTTCATCTGGCGTTTTATTCAGTGAATGCAGCTCTCACATGGAAGCCTCCCAAAGGGACCTAACCTTTTGCGTTGCCTGTCACTTGCTTCGCAACCTCGAAGAAAGGCGCTGCCCTCGCTTTCTGGAGGTAATCTCCTGGGCTCCTTGGTACTGGTATGAGTTTTTCTGCAGCTGCATGAAGCACCCCAGGGGCTTTTCCTGGCAGGGTGTGGAGAGCCTGCTAAAAGATCGCAGCCAGGGAAACGCTGCAAAGGATCTTGCTGGAAATGTTAGGAGATGTGAATCTTCCACAAGGCATCCCATGTAACAGCCAAGCCGCTCAGTCACAACTGCTTGGAATACACAGCAATTTCCTGTGTTTTTTCAATCTCACTTTAACTTCTCTGACAGATGGGGAAAGATGACTAAACCAAGGGAGTTTACAAAAGTTCGTCTTGTGGTGTTTGCAAACTGTCTCTGTGAGGTCCATTTTCTCCAATGTAAACACAGCCGTGGCAGGGAGCCGGGTGCCTTTGCAGCAGTTAATCCTGCTCGGCTCAAGGCTGCTCATGCGAGGTGTACTCGGCCGGATGGGTCTGCGCCGGGGAGCTGAGCGCAAACCAGCCCTGGGGCTGAGGGGGGCTAGGAGGAGATCTTCACTCCTCTTGGCTCGCCAGGGAGAGCATGAAGGAAAACAGCTGTGGCTGAAAGACCAGACTGAATTGACTCTTTGGGGTCAGTAGCTTTCCATGTCAGGGGGCCTGGGGTCAGGTGTGGAAGGTTAGATTAAAGGCTAGGGGAGTAATCATGTGAAAACAGTTGTATTTGGGTCTGTAGTTAGCCGGGTGTTGCTCTCCCCAGTCTTTAAGTCATGGCAAGGAAGTGATTGCACCCTGGGGAAGGTGGAGTTTCAGTTCTTCAGTTTTGCAAAAGGGGTGCAGAAGTTATGCAAAGCTTTCCTGCCAGATCCAGACAGAAGGCCAGGTAGGTAACATTAACTTCTTTTGATGTCTGTGTTCAAGGTCCACGTCTGAGGAATGTAGGGAGTGGGAAGAGAAGTCACAGATGGGTGGTCTGTGTACACTCAGAAATATGTACATTGAGCAAAAATCTCCATACCACACACAACCCCCAAAACAGGGAGATACTGAAATTGAAAAAGAACTTTTCTTCTATGGCTGGTAATTCTTCTCAATTAGTACAGCATTCCTCTCCAAT